CTGCAGCTGCCGCCGCTGCCTCTTCTTCGGGCCGGCCGGACCAGGACTCTCTGGTGGCCACGTTGGCCATGTCTCTCCCGCTGTGTCTCCGCCGGCCAGTGTTTGGGCACGTGACAACCTCAGGTCTGAGAGATCCCCGAATCACGTGACCAGCCAACTACGGACTGCCCCTGGGTCCACGCCAGGACGTGTCATCCCGCTGCATGACGGGAGATGTAGTCCTAGCGGCAATGTGGCAACGTGAGAGCGGCTTCCCTCACTATTCAGGAGAGCACGTGTGGATGTTACCCATAGCAACCCGTCAGGGATCCGTTGTTCATTGGCCAGAAATAATGAAAGGAAGAATTTAATAGGTTACAGTTTAAAGACTTCCACATGCCATCTTCCACCCCCAGCTCTGTGTGTGAGAGACTCCTTACACAGAGATAAGAGGGGAATTTATTATTCTGGGGCAGTTGCCCATAGCAACCAATCAGCTTTTACCTTCAGTTTTTTTCAATAAAGGTTTGAAAATGAAAATTAGAAGGTGAATGGTTGCCATGAGATTCTGCCTGATCCAGTTTTGATAAAATTCCCCCCTCTATGTGATCTTTGGCCCCATAGACTTCAGTGCCAACGCATGAAAACTGCATGTAACATGCATTTTAGCGCATGGCAACAAAGCCACACCCCCTAGCGACCTATACTTTATTTCAGCATCATTGACCAAACAAAAAAACACATTGAGGGGAGTTTATCGAAACTGAAGGAGGGAGAATCTGGAGCAGTTGCCCATGGCGACCAATCATTTTCTCTCTTTAGTTTGTTCAGTTTGCCTTTGAAAATGAGAGATACTGATTGGTTGTCATGGTAAACTGCTCCAGACTGTCTTTGCTCCAGGTTTGATCAATTTCCTTCACTATAAAACACAAATAAACACGGAATTGATTTCTCACTATAGACTGTAGTGCCTCAATGCCGGGGAGAAGTCCTGCTCCTTCTCTCTCTTCTCTCCTCTACTCCCCCCTGCCTCCCACCTCTCTCTCTCTCTCCCCTCTCTTTTCTCTCCCTCCTTCTCTCTCCCCCACACCCTCTCTTTCCTCCCCTCTCTCTCTCCATCCCTCTCTCTTTTGTCTCTCTCCCTTTCTCTTTTCTCCCCCTCTCTCACCCTCCCTCTCTTTTCTCCCCCTCTTTCTCCCTTTCTCCCTCCACCTCTCTCTCTGTTTTTTTTTCTCTCTCCCTCCCTCTCTCTTTTCTCTCTCCCTCCCTCTCTCTTTTCTCTCCCCCTCTCCCTCCCTCTCTCTTTTCTCTCTCCCCTCTC